TGGGATAATTGGGGTGGGAGTGTCAGAGACAGTGCGATTGGCACAGGACAGAGCGGAGTTTAGGGCTGTTGTACATAGGGTTGCTATGAGTCGCAGGCGACTCGATGGCACATAACAACAACAACAAACAACCAACAACTCTCAAAAAAAGTTAGGTTAAAGACTGCATAGGCTGGGAGGCAGTCTGAGGCCGACTTGCTGTCATCCCAGATCTGTAACAAAGTGCATATGGATGGTGGTGGGGGGGGGGTATGAAGACTGCATAGGCTGATAGAATGCACAATCTAAGGAAAAAGGATCCTCTGTTTCACCTTTGGGGAGCTCCAGTGGCATGCTTGTAAGATGCTATGCTGCCAAACCACAGTCACATGATTTGAATCCACCAGCCCTCTGGGGGAGAAAGATGGAATTTTCTTCCCACGGAGTTTACAGCGCCTGAAAACCTGCTGAAGGGTTAGCTATGGCATATAACAACAGCAACGGCTTGATCTTTAACTAGTTCTGTGAGCATGGCTAAAAACAAGGCAGCCAAAGGTCAGTCTGCCCCTTGAGAGAGTTATTCACTAAGACAGCTATTAATTTATTAATTGTTTATGCCTCTCTCTCCCCCTTCCTATCCCTGATAACCATCTAAGAATGATTCTGTGTGTAAACTTTTCTTTAGATTTTTGTGATAGTCATCTTATGCCACAATTGTCCTGTTGTGCCTGACTTGTCACTAAGCATAATTTCCTTTAGATTCACCCATGTTGTACAGTTATTTCATAAGCTCTTTCTCATTTTTAAGTGATGCATAATACTCTGTTTTGTAAATGTACCATAGTTTCTTTAGCCATTCTTATTTGGATTGGTACTTGGGTGGTTTCCAATCCTTTGCTATTCTCAGTAATGCTACTGTAAATGTGTGTATGTATAGATCAGTTATGTCCCAGCTCTTATTTCTTTGGGACATATACCCAGTAGTGGAATTTCTACTTTTTTTGTTGGTTTGTTATATTTGGAAGCAGGAGTAGCATTCACTTCCTAAACAACATGCCTCTGGAAACCCTATGAACTTTTATAAATGTTGATTGTTATAGAAAGGCTTTAGGCCTTTTGTTCATAGAGTCGCTATGAGTCGTGTTCAACTCGACAACAATCAACAACAACAGCAATAGTGGATTGCTGGATTAAATGTTCTTTCTCTTCTGAACTATCTAAGGAAGTATCAAACTTCTTTTAAAAATGTTTGTACTATTTTACATTTCTACTAGCAGTGTATTAGAATTCCAATCTCTCCATACTCTTGTCAGCATTCATTATTTAATTGAACTTTGCTGTTACTGCTAGGGTAAATTAGTACTTTAATAAATTTATTTTTTCATACTTTAGGAGGCTGGAAGTCCTCTCTCTCTGTTGCATCTGCAAGAATATACTTTTCTCTTTAGTTTCTGCTTCCCAGTCCCTTGAAGATCTCCTTGTGTCTGGGCATCTGTTGTACCCCTCTATTTCTTTTGTTTATTTGCTTAATCTATTTTATATCTCCAGTTCAAGCTGCATTGAAGACACTGGCAAAATATAAGGGCCCAGTAATCAACAGGATACCAATTGGTACCTTTTAACAAATAGGTGCAGTCCTGGATGTGCTCACTAATTTATGACAAATGATTTGGAAGATAGCTACTTGGCAAGCTGATTGAAAGACATACATATTTATTTATTTTCATTTGCAAAAAAAGAGTGACCCAACACATGTGGAAACTGTCAAACAATCTCATTAACATCACATGCAGGTAAAATCTTGCTGAGGATTATCCAAAATGGCTGGAATACGACATCAACAGAGGACTGCTAGAAATTCAAGCTGGATTTAGAAGAAGCCATGGCACCAAGAATATCATTGCTCATGTCAGATAGATTTTGGCTGAAAGCAGAGAATACCAGAATTATTTTGTGTGTGTGTGTGTGTGTTATTAGTTACTATGCAAAGGCATTTGACTATGTGAGTCACAGCAAATGTGATTTAATTATGCTCATGCAAAATCTATCCTTAGACCATCCTGGGATGTTGCCCAAACAAAGCAAGGAAACATTTAATGGTTTAAAATCAAGAAAGATGTGTGTCAGGACTGTATACTGTCTCCTTACTTATTCAGTCTGTGCACTGAGGAAATCACTTGAGAAGTTAGACTTTATGAATGGAGTATGTCATCAGGACAGGAGGAATACTTATCAACAATCTCCTCTGCGTTGTGCAGGTGACACAACCTTGCTACCCAGAAGCAAAGAGGGTTTGAAATGCTTGCTGCAGAAGGTGAAAGACTGCAGCCTCAATATAGATTACCTCTCAACATCAAGAAGACAGAAATCATCACACTAGGCCAAGTGAAACTGTCAATTATTTAGTCTTGCTTAGATCCACAATCAACACCCTTGGTAACAGCAGTCCAGAGATTAGGAGATGTGTTGCGTAAGAAAAGTCTGCAGTTAGGGACCTCTCCAAATTGTTGACAAATAATAATTAAAGTGTGTGTGTCAAAGATTAAAGTGTGCCTGAGTCAGAACACTGTCTTTTTAAGCACTTCCTAGGCATCTTAGAGCTGCACAGTGAATAAGGATGGCAGAAGAATAATTAATTCTTTAAGTTGTGATGTTGGAGAAGAGGACTGAATGTCTCCAAACTGCCAAAAGAACAAAAAAATGTTTTGGATAAAGGATAGCCAGTGTCTCCTTGGTGGCAAAGATGACAAAGCTTTGTCTCACATATTTTTAGCATGTTGTTAGGAAAGGCTATTCCTTGGAAAGGGACATCATGCTTGAAAAGGTGGAGGGATGGTTAAGGAAAGGAGGACCTTCAACCGGGTGCATTGACACAATGACAAATATATCATAAATAAGGATGGCACAAGATAGGACAGAGTTCACATCTATTAGGGTTGCTATGAGTTGTACTTGATGGCACCTAACAACATCAGCAACAACAACAATTGGACCAATAGGAAGCATTATGATAGATGGAGAAAAGATTGAAATTGTCGACAAATTAATCTTACTTGGATCCACAGTCAGTAACCCTGGCATCAGCAGTCAAGAAATCAAAAGACATGCTGTATTCGGTGATTTGTTGGTAAGGACCTCTCTAATATGTTAAGCAGCAATGATGTCAGCATAAAGACTAAGGTGTGTCTTATTTAAGCTATTGTCTTTTCAATTACTGGTTATGCATTTGAAAGTTGGACAGTGACTAAGGATAACAAAAGAAAGATTAATGCCTTTCAGTTGTGGTATTAGAGAAGAATACTGAATATCCCATAGACTGTCAAAAGAGAGAAAGTGCATCCCAGGTAGGTCTTGGAGGCAAAGACAATGAAGCTTCTTCATCTTACATATTTTGAGCATGTTGTTAGGAGGGGCTTGTGCTTGCTTGGAAAGGTGGAGGGTCAGTGACAGAAAAAACCTCAATGAGATGGATTGCACATTGACATTAATAAGAGGCTCAAATATGTTAGAGATGATGAGGATGACACAGGATAGGACAAGGTTGCAGATCCATTATCCATAAGATTGCCACAAGTAGTAGTAGACTCAGTAGCACCTGACAAAAAGAACATCAGTAGGGTGGGCTGCCCTCGGCCCCCTGCCCGGGGCGAGCCATCGCGGCCCTCAGGGTAAGCTCCTCAGTCCCCAGATTGTGCCATCTGACCCCTGGGTGGGGAAGGAGAAAAAAGAAAAAAAAAAGAATGCCTAGGGTATCCAGAGAATGTTACCTAGGACACCTTCTGCCACCCGCCCCCCCCCCCCCCCCCCAGTAAACCTGAAAGCAACACCCTTAAAGCCCTTCTATTTATAACTCACAAGTTTGTTCTCTCTAGGTTTGCTCCCTTTCCTATAGGTAACCTTAACTCTGAGTTTTACTCCAGAATTGACCCTGAACCCAGTGCCAGTGACAAAAAGGAAATACAACTGACAGCTAAGGAAGCAAAGGAGGATGGAACCTCTGGGTTCAACCAGCCATCCCCACTGGACCCACCTGGGAAAACACTTTGCAGTCCAGAGGGGAGCAAATGACAGGAAAATATCTTCTAACAGAGCAAGAAGGCAAGCAGCTGTAACCCAAGACCACCAGTAAGGTGATAAAGCGTCCTCCTTTCCCCCCTTTACATCTGCGCCCCTGTTCAGCATGAAGAAGCCAGAGAGTTGGCATCCAATTCCCAAATCAATAAGACAGTTGGTTTAATTACTATTGGAAAATGCTTGTCTTTCCTCTGTAGCATCTGGTCCCCACTGGACCCTCATCATTTCCTTCACCTGCTCCCCCCACCAACCAAACTGTGCAGCTCTGCAACTGCATCCTGGCCCATCCTCACCCTTCTGCCCCCAACCCTCACCTCATTGTACCCCCAATATGTTTTTCCCAATAAAAAAAATATTTAAAAAAAAAAGAACATCAGTGACATAACAGAGAAAACTCATTCACAAATAGGCTAAAGCCAGTGGCATAGAAGGGAGAATTTATAACATGTATTTTGAGGAAGAAACAATAACTCTAAAATCCAGATAACATTATTTTTTAGTGTTGTTGTTGTTTGTTGTTATGTGCCATCGAGTCACCTGCGACTCATAGCGACCCTATGTACAACAGCTCTAAACTCTGCTCTGTCCTGTGCCAATCTCACTGCCTCCGACACACTCATCCCGATTGCCCCAGTCACCAAGTCAATCCATCTCCCAGAGGGCCTTCCCCTCCTGCGCCTGCCCTCCACCCTCCCAAGCATGATGTCCCTCTCCAAGGACCCTTACAACATGGCCAAACTATGTCAGACGAAGCTTCAGAATCCTTGCCTCCAAGGCGCAGCCCGGTTTAACCCTCTCCAGGATGGATCTGTTTGTTCTCTTAGTAGTCCATGGCACCTTCAGCACTCTTCTCCAACACCAAAGCTCAAAAGCATCAGTTCTCCTTCTATCCTCCTTGGTCATTGTCCAGCTCTCTGATGCATAACAAGTGATTGCAAAAACCATGGCCTGTACCAGACGCACCTTTGTCTCCAGAGACACACAGTTACTCTTCAGTACTTTAGAGAGGTCCCTAACAGCAGACTTTCCCATGGCAATACGTCCTTTAATTTCCTGGCTGCTGGTGCCAAGAGTGTTGATTGTGGAGCCAAGGAAACTAAAGCTGTGAATAATCTCAATCTCTTCACCATCCATCCTGTTGCTGCCAATTGGTCCAGTGGTGAGAGTCTTTGTCTTCTTGACATTGAGCCTCAATCCATATTGAAGGCTGCAGTCCCTGACCCTCAGCAGCAAGCTCTTCAGGTCCTCCTCAGTTTCAGCAAGCAGGGTTGTGTCATCTGCATAGCGCAGATTGTTTATGGATCTTCCACCAATCCTGATGCCACATTTCTCCTCATAGA